AAAAAAAAACCCAAACCCTGTTACTTCTAGTAATATAAAATGTCAAGATATCATGCTAAGATCAGTATAATATATAAATTGTTAAATATTGTAACTTCCCTCAAGAGACTCAGAGACAATTCAGGAAGTGAAAATGAGCCAATAGTTTATAGGTGAGCCTGGACTCATTCCTACAAAAGCTTCTTCTCCAGTGCTATAATACCATGATGTATCAAAGCTTTTTGGTGCTTTATGTTCTGGAAAACTTTTCTGTTAGCGATATGCCTAGTGACATTAGTTTAAGCATCTTCTCAGCTAGTTACCAAGTAATTTCTTTGGAGTTCTCTTGTACCCCTATTGTAATACTGTCCAGATTACTCTGTACTGGTCTTAAATCTGTTTTTATTGTGTGCAGGTGACTCTGAATATTGGACCAGATCAAGATCTTGCAATTCTGCATGAGGTTCGCCAAGGCAACAGACGAACTCATAAAATCCAAACAGAACTGAAAATGTTAAAAGCCAAAATTTATGGTTTGGAGAATGAACTACGGGTCTGCTGATTCTGAGATATGACCAAGCATTCTGTTGACCAAAAAAAGGACCACTCCTAGGCTGGAACAGTCATCCTTAATGGCAGCTCTTGCCTGTCTGCTTTCTGTCATCTAGTGACAAAAGACTTGAGGAAATCTGCAGTGAGTGTCATGATATCCTRTACCAGCCATTCCTAACATGTCCGGCCTATGGTGCTGTTTCAGCTGAGAGAGGATAGTGATAACTGGCCATGTACTTTTGATGGTCTTATTGGGATTTTGATTAGAACTCTTCTTATTATTTGTGTTAGAGGGCACATCATGCTGGTCTTCAGCTTTATTTGGAGCATAGTACAARCTGCATATGGAATTAATAATCATGAAAAGATCTTTTTTCTAGATTTGGATTGTCTGATGCTTCCATATGTGAGACAATGAGCTTTTAAAGTCATTTACATGATTAAAATGCCTAGACATCTCAGGATGTAAGAGGACTTTTTTTTTTTTAAGAGAAACTAAGTCAGTGCTACATTTGCGTCATTTAATCTTCCCAGCATAGCTGTTCTAAAATGGCTTCCCTTTATTTTAGCCTAATTGGGACAAACTCAATTGGTGTTTTCTTGATATTCAGCAGAGTTAAAAGACTTATCTCAATCGCTTGCCTCTCCCATTGCACTCGGGTTATCTTAATGTATAGGAGCTCATAATAAAAGGCAGCTACTGTGCTCCTTAATAGTCCTATTATCTACCTTTTTAGCGCTAAAGATGTGACAGTTGCATATGAACACACTCATTATCGGCTTTTGTTGATGTCACTGACAAGTCATGGACCGGGGTGAGCAATGGTTCTACCTGGTGTCAGGCTGTAGGACTATCTCTTCTTATCGGAACTTGGGCACTGTTAACTGTGAGAAACAGAACAGTGCTTTTCTGAAATACACATCTGTAGACTACCAAAACTTCCTTCCCGTATAGAAAGGTAATCAAGGTAATCAGACATTTGTGAAAGCAAGTGGTTTCTCTTGGATTAAGTAAGGGTCATTGAGAGGCTCACTCAGTGTTTGGGAGAGGCAGACTTGGGGGACCCAAAAAAGGGGGAAAAAAAAAAAAACACACCACAAGATTTAGAGAAAGAGTTATTTTCTGTAGTGCCAGGTAAAGCAGAAAAGGGAGGATTCTTCTAGTCTTTCAAGACCAGATTCATTTGTGTCTTTCTGTGAAGGGCCCCCTGGGCTGTATGGCCCTCTAATGGGGCTTCAGTTGGGCATTATTTTTAAAGCCAGACTCTCCACAAGCAGTGACTTTAGTGTGGGTAGCTARTTGCTTATGTGCCTGAATATTCAGCCATCTATTGCAGACTCACTTTTCTAAGTTACAAGAGAGATTTTTTTTTTAATGTGTTGTCATTAAGCTGTTTAGCTTAAAATGCTATAGTGGTCAAAAAAATTGATTAATGAACAGTTTGGGTGCTCATGCAGTGTGACTGAGCTGAGGAAGGTTATTGGATTCTGAATGACAGTGGCACAGTTTTGTTATTTCTCAATTGATTCATACCTTATCCAATAAGCTTCCCTTAGCTAGCCAGCTTGTCTGGAATAACATGCTGCTACTTTGAAGATGGATATCAACTGAAAACCTGCTTCTGAAAAATGTCCACATAACGAAATGCTAGATGCTGATTTTGCAGAATGCATCAACTTTGAAAATTATCAGGAAGCTAGCAGATTGGTCTCTTGAACCCGTAGAAATTGATTTCTGCTTGTTTTCAATTCTCTCAAGCCAAAGAGTAGCCTGTGAAAGTAACTTTTCCTCACCTGAGAGTTGTCAAAGCCTATTGTCTTTTTCCACTTTATATGTAGGACCCAAAGTTTGGGGCAGCTGGGGGGTAGGATACAAATGTTTGGCTTCCTTACCACCACCACAAGCAGTGAGGGCTCCATTCCAACCATTTCTGCTGGTGCATCAAAGTCRGAGCCCAGCTTAAACATTATTCGTGGTTTGTCACTAGGTCTTGGTAGGTCACTAAGTGGAGGAAAATTGCACTAGTGCTGAATTGTAAGTGTCTTCAGTGTGGGGGTTTGTTGTTTGTTTTTCAAGTACTCTATACATTTTGTGATACCTTCATGCAACYGTGTAAAATGCTGCTTTCCTGCTATTGCCAAAACAAATGGGGACCTTCAGGCCACAAGTTGCTTTAAATAACCAAGTGGTCTTGAGCAGACAGCTACCCTCTGTCAGGGAAGAACTGACACGTCTGAAGATGTTTCCTGTAAAGGGTTCAAAGGCCCATATTAGCCCAAAATTTTCTTCCATGGTTTGGGGATGGAATATAAAATAAGTTGTTGGGTTTTTTTAAGCATGTACTCTAAAAAGGATAATCAGCCTTATTAATATACCAGTTAGTAATGTGTAACATGTATCATTTTATCAGAACTTAATGCCAGGTTACACAGGCCAAGGCATTTGAAGAATATCTTCCAAACCTTGGAAGACCTTGAAATGGGGAAAGAGGCAAGGATTAGAGGTCACAAATATTCTTGTTGAGAATCAGGATGCTAAAATGTAAATGGGGGGGGGTGAGTGGCCAGGATTTAAAACTCTCAGGTATATGATTCATGAGATAAGAATAGAGTACATATATATGTTACAAAAGCTGGCTTATTGGGCAAGACAGAACAACAGATGATTCAGCAGAGAAAAAATGCTGTGTGAGAACTCAAATTGTATTGTTAGCATTGATTAATATACAAATACTTTGAAGGAAAAGTGGGGGCCCTTCATCTCAGCAGAAAGAGGCTGGGGGAAAAACAGCAGCCTCAAGCTGCATTTAAATGCTAAATATAGAAAATAAAGTATATGTTTTTAACGGGAGGTGTGGGGGTTTTTTTTGTTTGTTTGTTTTCTCCCCTTGCTATGACAAACTATTTGTGGAGGTGACAAGCTCTCCATCTGCAAACAAATTATTGCACTTCTGGAAAAGCTAACTTATTTTACTAAGTTACTGGATCTAACACAACTCATAAAATATAACGACATGTGACATACATGATATATCATTTAATGGTCCCTTCTGACTCTAAACCTATTAATTTTTTATAGGCAATGCTAAGAGGATTTTTTTCAGCACTCATGCTGGAGTTAAAGGAATGTGTGCTGCATCAGCTCGCCCTTTACAACAAGATTAAGCAAGGTCAAAAAATCTTCCTCTTCAAGGCCAGAACTTGTGGTGGCTGTGGTGATGCTGTGACTGCATTTAGAGGGGCAAATTAACTGTAACCTTAGTTGTGACAGCTGTCAGAATAGATCTAACGCAACAAGGGGTACTTGTAAGCAATAGCTATACTTGGAAGGTGTTTACTTAAATAGTTGTATTCAGAAACATTAATCAATATAGATGCATTTGCTGTAGGTGGCCTCATGTTTAAGAATTGTACTACCTCTCTCTTGGCTGGAAAGTTATTCCAAGCTAAATAACSAGGCCCTCCTGAGACTTGTAGGAGCAGTATCCCGGTGTGCTTGGTGCTCTCGGATCTCTTCAGGTCCAGGAAAAGCCATGCCATTCAGATTTTAACTATAGCACGTGAACACATTTAATTCTGCTACACTAGGGTGCATTCATGCCTATTCAAAATCCTYACTAATGAAGATGTCACATTTGTCCCCATTCAAAGCAGCATAATAGCTTATTTGTATAAAAAAGATTAAGATTTATTTTATTAAGATTTTTAATTTTTTTCACAGTATCTTGCTTTCGTATTTTTTCTTTGACTTGTTTAACTGCTTAGGGCATGAAGCTTCTTTATTCCTAAACTCTTGGATTTTATTGTATAAAGTGTGTGGGTGTTTGCAGTGATTATTGCATGGACTGGGGTTGTCTGCCAAAGTCTGCTCAGGTACAGCACGAAAGGCATGAGAGGAAAGCTGCAATGTCTCCTCTTGACTGCTGTATTTCTAAAAATCTAGATGCAGAAGAAAGTTTGTTTCGGTTCCTGCTGTGTGAGAAGTCTGTTTATATTTGGTGGGTTGTGCCTTTTCTTTTCCTTTGTGAAATGGTCTATCAGAAGTAACTGAAACTTCTCCTGTGAGAGGGAAATGATACCTTATGATACCTTAAATACTTTAGGGGTTACCCTAAATACCTCAGGACTTGTAGTAGTTCTTGTTTAGCACCTGATGATTTGTTTGGAGAAAGGAAGTCTTTGAGTAACAGCTCAAGTGGCTGCCCTTCAAAGGAGCTCCAAATATAGCTGGATAAACAGAGTGTTCAAGGGAGGCTTGTTCCTTGCTCACATCACGCACTTAATGAATTATAATGCGTTGGGGATAGGTTACAAATAGGTAAGATAAGATACTTGTCAATAGTCAGAAAACAGAAGCCTTCCCTACAAGGTTTGCATTGTGAAAAAAGGGTTGGTTTGAATAAAGAGCTYCAAATTGACCCCATGACTGCTCATCCAGGACACGCAGGATTTCCCTTGCTGGGAGAGGAGAAAATTTGGGCAAGGTTTTAGTTGGATTTAAAGAGGTCTTTTTTTATTTTATTTKATTTTCTCCCTGCAATGATCAAAAATGTAGATACATATCTTTCACTAGGGTGATATGCCTAGATTCTGAAGGGTGTTTTGAAGATGAATTTAAACTGTATAAAACCCAGCTCTGAGAGGCAGAGCCCGAAGAGCAGCTGATGTGTGTTATACAGCAGTGAGGCTCTGTGGTTATAGGGTTATGGGGCTGTTCTGAAGCCCAACGTGGAGCAGGGGCTGGCAGCAGCTTGGGCCAGTCTACCGGGCAGGACCTGCTAGAGATGCTGGGAGGGAATCGCATGAACTGTCCTTGCCCCTGTAGAGAGGGATGGGCCTTTCCTGCAGTGTGAGCTGGGGAGCTAAGGCTGAGGGAGACGACTCACACCAGCTCTGCAGCAAGAGAAACGCATGGACAGCGTTTCCCATCCAGCCCCGTGAAAGTGCAGGGAAGATGTGACAGACGTTGCTCCAACAGGAACAGCACTGAGACAGCAGCCATGTGAACAGTGGAGCAAAAAAGGTCAAACCCAGGCCCRTAATATGAATATTGTCAGCAAACTTGCTGGTAAGAACCACTCCTTTAGCATAAGGCCACGGTGACAGCGCAGCCTTTCAGGGAGTGTGAGGAAGGTCGGGCAGAGGAGCGGGGAGTCAGCAGGGCTGGTGCGAGCAGTGGATGGCCGGGTGTATTTGCTGTGGAGCCAGTAAATAGATTTGGAATCAAAATTATACAGAAGAGGGAAGGAGAAAGAGGCAGATTAGTGAACCTTTGAGGCTAGAGAGAAAGGATGTTGGCACAGACCTGCAAGTAATTCAYGGAACAGAGAAGCGGTTGTTTAGATAGCTGGAAGCAAAAGCAGCCCCAAAAGGGGCAGGGGCAGSAGAGATGTAGCTGGAGAGCAGAGCCAGAAGCAACAGGAGACGCGTGTCATTAAATACTGCATCCATATCAAAGGCTGCTTTTATCAYGAGGAAATGTAGCCAAAAGAGAAAACAAACACTACCCCAAACAAAGAAATATTCCAGTTGGCTCATTTGGCAAATAATAGTCAGCTCCTTTGAGGCGGGTATT